CGAAATACTTTTAGGAACACTGAATAAGATGTGGTATATATTCAGCGGAAATGCGAATTTTATTCGATCGCATTTACACATGCATTTTCAATTATGCTAAGGTGTAAGCTCCATATATAACACATTATCTTTATCAACTTATTGTGCATAACGATAATCAATCCATTATCTCTTTCACACGTTTTCGACTCAGCCTTTTCTAATCGATGTAACAAATTATACTATGAATGCATTTGAAGAAAAGAAACTTTCTCAGTTGTGATACAGTGATTCTAAGAATTAAATAAATTAGATTACACATATCTACAATCCGATAAATTTAATTAGATTAATTGATTATTGAATAGATTACAACATTATATGTATAAGTTGTCTCCAAAAAGATATAGTTGTAAAATAATAAATAAGTTGTCTCATAGAATCACTGCGTTGCAATTGAAAATGCGTGGTTTCTACTCATAATTTCATTAAGAAAAAATAATGGAATTTCTTACCTCGTTATCTTATCAGACTGAAAATGACAATTCTAAAATGCATTCTGAGAATTCCTACAAGGACAATCCTCCATATAGAACAGCAGACAATAAATGATCAAGGGAATTCGATAAATAATTCAAATGGAATCGAAAGACTCACTTGAATTTAAGGAAGAAAAGAGAAAAAGAAATTGATAGAGTAGATAAAATATTTTTATATGGATTCTCGGTCACACGAATAAATTTCATTCGACAGATTGTTTCGCGCATATATCGTACCGTTTAGATTTTAAGCGATCTCTTAAAAATATTCACGCATTAGTATTATACATTATACATAAGATTTAAATATGCGCATTCATTTCTACATAAAAATGATACAAGCCTTTAAAGTATAAGGTATATAAGTTGTAAGGTTGATTCGTACATTATCACTGCTTTGTCAGGAGCTTTATCGTTTCTATGTTGGAATGTATGCACAATACATTAACTAATTATACATACAGATATGCAGGGTGTGATTAACAAATTGACCTCTCGATTATAAATATATTGAATTGTGAAATTATTTTTCGAATATTATTGAGAAATAATTCGTTTCCTATTGTCTGACTCTTTTAAAATTTAATTTTTGGAAGAGAAATTTAATTTTATGAATTAAGTTAATTGAATTTACGCATTCTTAAAATTCAACATCAGAGAATTTTTAATATTATACATTTTACACTTTTACATTTTAGTGCATCGTTTTATTCGATATCTGGAAAACCGATTTTTTTCATTCGCGGTTCGCGGATACAAAATATAAATTCTGATAAACCCTGCATATGTAAAGACCTTATAAGATAAGAAATTCGTGGTTGCGTTTTATGAATAAGTAGATTTATGGAAACAGTTTGAATTGTTCAATTTATTGTAGAAAGAAAGTTAAATAAATGAATAAAGACTAATCTCACCCCGTTAACAAATAATTAACTGATACCATACGACAACAAACAATAATAATAATTGTCACCTTACATATTTTTTTATACAGGATGGATGTGAATAAGTCGATCAAGTTTTCCTTAAAAATAGAAATGTTATTTCGTTCCAGTGATATCCGTAGTCTACATTTAATTATTATTAAATAACAGAGAGAGATTGGAGCAAGGAGGAGGGCCAACATAAGCGTTAAGCATATAGTACAATGTATATACTTTGTGTCAATGCATAAGTTTACATTACGTAAACCTTTTCGATCTTTTTATATGGAAATACTTCTTTGGTCTTTGGGCAGATCACTGTGCCGTTATTTTCTTGAGCCATTTTTTCCAATGCCTACAACAAAAATAAGTGCGAACATTGGCGCATTAAAAAGACACAATCAAATATCGTCTAAGAAATTTGAGGTATTTAATATATTTAATCATATAGATAATTAAAATTAAATTTTTTGTCAAATACATCAAATCATAAAAAATTAAATCATAAAAAAAATACATATTTGTAATTAGTACATAAAATATGCACATCAGCCTAAAATTAATATGTATAATACACATGCACATGAATACGTAATGCATGCATAAATCTTCCTCGTATAATACATTTAATATTCTAATAAGTATAGCACTTTTTATTCGAAATTACTTCAATACCCTACATGTAAAATTGATTATATCTTTACGTTATATATTGTAACATTATTCTTTAATACTTTAAATTGAAATTTTAAAAGCTATAATTTACAATTATTATTTAACTTACTTGTTCACCATACACATATCCATTCGGCATCATCATAGGCTGGTTATACTCGTTCAGCGGTTTTCCGCTTATGCTACAAACGAGTCGCGATTGCGAGCAATGGGCGAAAGGCAATGGTGCAGCTAATTCATTTAACGCTTCGTTGCAGACTGGACAGCTAGGATTTCGGCCTTCCTTATTCGCGCTGTAACATTGGGGAGTCTTAAGAGCCGACAAGCCGGCCTGCAGAGCTACCGTGAATACGCTCTGACTCGCCAATTGAAATAATCTGTAGTTTTCCTGCCGAAATGTCTCGATGAGCTTGTCCCACCTGTAGAAAAATTTTTATAAATTATTATTCATTTATATGAATTGAACAAATTATAATTCTCACGTTATACATTTTTTAATAACTTTGTATAACGAATTAAATGACGATATATTTGTAACCGGCAAATGTAAGTAGCAATTGCAAACCTCTTTTCGTCCAGTAGATCTTTATAGGGACTCAAGTATGCGTGGGCTGGGAAGGCCAACTGGCCCATGCAACACTGGATCTCCTGCAGCTGATACTCGTCATAATTGGCAAAGTACTTGCGAGCGTGCTTCACAGCATCGAGCCGTCTGTCAGTTCGCACTAATTCGATAAATTCCTGCACGCGCAAATTGAACTCCATAGTACTGCCTAGTTTTCGTAACTTTGAGCGATTATCATGGCACCAACCAATGCATCTTGCGGTTTCATGATTGGCCAAAGATTTCTCCACCTCTCTCGATACCATAAATACATCTGCAATTGTTATAAGATATTGAAGAGTGGCAGAGAATTTTTTTCTTGTATTTATAAAATTTTAGAAACTTGACTCTAAAAGATATTTTCTCTTGAACTCGTCTGTCTCTCTCGTCTATTTTTTCAACACATATATTCGCCCTCATTTTCTTTGTTTTACCTAAATATTATGATGTACGATTCTAACTAAATTAATAAAAATTTTAAATGTATGCATAGTATTGCTATATGTATGTATAGTATACATACTATAGTATGTATACATAGTATATATAGTATATATAAGCATTCCAAATAAATATTGTATTGTATTGTATTGTATTGTAATTATATTCAGTATTTTATGCAATACTATTCTGTATTTTTGGTTTTAGAAATTTTAATTAATGGTATATATTAATTGTACGATTCTATTTCTTTCTTTTTCTCCTATTAAATATTTTTGTGAAGCTTTAATTTTCTAATTACAATTAATATAATTGCAAATTGATATATCATTCTTTTAGGTAAGCAAAGTGTAATTATTATTATTATTATGACTTTATTGCCATCGACTAATATAGTACTAATGTATACACAATATCATTAAATTACATACCAATATTTGTCAGATCTCTAAGCTCGCTGCTATCTGCCAGCTTAGTTGCCGTTTTGTAGTATCCCTTACGAAGAAAATATTCCACTAACATTCTGTCTAGTCTCTGTCGTCTCCACTGGTTTACAGCACTCCGAGAGGTATTAGCGTGATCTTTCAAGTGATCCAATCTTCTTTTGCACACCATGCCCGCTTGCAATTCCTCCGCTATGGATTCCTGAGCTTTACGCTTTAAGACCTGCA